TAGAAGTATTTACGATTAAAAGAATTTACAAGAAAATTGTATGTTGTTGGTTTGAAAAGTTATTCCCTAAACTAGTGTATCTTAATACAAAACGTACTGTATTTGTAATGTTATTAATAAGGACTAGTAAAATTTTAAATGTGTTTTGCAGGATCGGTATTAATATCTATAAGCAATGATGTAAAAATGGAAACTTTATGGTCCGTAGCTTGAAAAGCTTAATTTTACATGATCTTCTCATTTTTTATAATAAGGTAAAACCTAAACTATAATGGTTTATTGATTTCTAAAGTCTCATTGAACAAAAATACTTATTATTTAACAAAACAAATGTATGCTGGCTTAGGTTTAATATTTAATTTATTTCAATTCCATTTATCCTTACTAAAAATTTTATATCATTATCAACATTCAATTATTATTAACACTAACCGTTTTATTGTTAAGCAATCTGTAAAAGGGTTAATGAGCCTAATATCATGCAATGAAATTTGGAAATCAGAATTTATAAAAAAGAAATTCATCATAACTCAATTTGTTACTCGTGTAATATATTTCGTGTGTGTCGAAATTGACAAAAATCGAGAATCAAGAATCGAGAATATCCCCTTTAGGCAAAAACCAAATAGTTTCGTTTAAGGACATGAAAATGCAATTTATTTATGATTTTATTTATTTGTATTTTGTTGAGTTATGGAACTTATGGAATAAAGAAACAATTCAAGGAATAAGACGGGAACTACTCTTGTCAACCACCCGCAAAGTATATCAAATTTCGTGTTTTGACAAATCATTTTTATTGACTAAACATTCCGGCAATTCGTAAGATTCAGGCACGCCATAAGCCCGCAGAGTTGCGCGGGTTTTGAAAATAAATTTTCAATATAGTTAAATAAATAAATATAAATACATATAAATAACATAATGTAATGAAACGAAATAATAAAATTTATTTAGTTTTACGTTGCGGTAAATTTGAAATTTCATCACGTGCACAAAGGTTTATCAGCGTTTGTAGATGGCGCTTTATGGCGTACGTCCCCTATGTGTCACTTTGTCAAATTGACACGAATTCAAATTATGTCAAATGCTATACTGCAAATACTGAATAACCCTTTTTATATCGCAATTTCATTTTAATCAATTTTATATGCATTTATTTGACTTTGTATCGAAGTGGCATTGGCATCGGCATCGGCATCGACATCGACATCTAGTTTATTTAGTTGTTAGATATTCGCTATAGGAAATTCGTTTGATTGAGTTACAAATCACAAATCACAAATCAAATGTTTATGAACACATTTTTTCGGCGGGGTCTCTCAATCTATTTGCGGCTGAGTTTTGGTTTTGCATAATGAAATTGGTAAATGCTAGTTTAAAAAGTTTGATTGGTTTTTTGTGTATGGCTGTCGATAGAAATAACATTGAATTCAGTTGATTACATTTTTAATAATAGCACTAAATACAAATATTTATCATATATTCAAAATAAGTTGTTCTAGTATAAGGGATTGTACAGATTACAAATTTACATCATTAAGTCATTATGTTTAAGCTTGTAGTTCCGTTATAACATCGGCTCTAAAGATTTACTCATGTCTCTATTACAGTATAGGCCTATTGTATTATCGTATTGAATTCAAAAGACATAATTTTATGAAATCTTTAAGCGACACCCACAGAAGTGTCGCAAACTGATATAATAATCAGCTTAATTATAGTTATCTTTAAAAAGTTAGTCAAAAAGCACCAGATGGCGCTATTTGCTTTCTTATGATTATGTTTAGGGCACAATTAATACAGAGTTCAGTTCATATTTACATAGTACCATACAATACTAAAGATAAAATTTAGATAAGATAAGATACAAGATTTAAGATAATCATTCCTTTTGAAATATCATGTAGGAGCATTGGTGCTATGTCGAGTGATGAAATTATTTTAGCCAGTACTCAACATTTCATATCAATATTACATTAACAAAGAAAATTTTGGAAGAGTAAGATTTAATAACCATTTCCTAAAATGAATTTGAACTAAATTATTCTCATTATAAGTCGCGTTTTACAATAAAGTAATTATGAAACAAAAAGTATAGGATGGCCCTAACACCTTGCTTAAATCAAACAGTATTTTAATCAGGGCATTACTAGTGCAGAGTTCAATCCTTATTGAGTACTACACAAAACGAAAATTTGTCTTTAATCAAATAACACGAAGTTGTATCAGTATTATGAGATGTATATGTAGTTATGGGATTACATGGCCCTGTAATCAACTTTTCTTACCAATATCTGAAAAGAATCGGATTGATTAGAGTGTTTAAAGTTAATTTGTACCCAATTAAGTTTTTTTTATCAAAAACTGTGTATAGATTAGGTTAGATAAGATTATAGCAGCGAACTTAAGTATCCATTTAGGTCTATTGGTCCATTATGTTACCGTGTACGAACTTAATAATTAAACATTATCTTAAATCATTGGCAAAGACTAAAAAGTGGAGACATCCTTCCGAAAGTTACTACAGAGATGGGCTCTATAAATTAGAATGTATTTCGAATAAGTGTATGGAAGTTAAGAGAGATAATATATTCAAAAAGAGCAGCATATTTATAACTTAAAACTGTTTGTTTTTGAACAACTTAGTACAATATAGGTATATATACCCTATTGTTTTACGAGTATAATTATTAACTGCATTTTAATAAGAGTTTATTACAATTTTTAAGTACTTTAAACAGTTAGAAATGTAAAACCGCTTCTTTTCAAATCACAATATAGAAAAGATATAATAGACATATATATTTCAGTAATGTCTTATAGCTTACATTTCTCATTTCCCCATTTAATATGCGCGTCTTTTATGCTACACCAGTTTCAATGGAATTTATGAGGTTCCTGTCGCAATTTGCCACCCGTCTATTGCCACTAAACATGCATATCCTTTCAGTATTTCAGTTCATATCCTTTCAGCTCAAATATTGTCTTTAACAATTGAGACATAAATTTTAATGTGAATTTAAAAAGTTTGCAGTCTTGCACTACGTCTAGTTAGAGAAGCTCACAAATAAGTTTGTTGTATTGCATAAATACAAATATATATTTACTATATATATGGTATATGTAAGTAAATATGAGAGTTTATTTTATAAAGAAAATTTCAACTATAATTGCAAATGCATGAAATTTCGTTGACAAATTTAGTAAAAAAAAATAAGTTTGGAGTTTCCAAAAATAAATAAATTTATTTGCTGCCAGTGTCTGTAGAGAAATTAATAGTTGTGGAGCATATTTTTGACAATATCGTGCAACTGTTAAATAAAATATTTTTTCTTAATTATTTATGATTTTTAAATTACATTATATAAGCAAATTTTACTTATACAACAGACAAATTTTTTTCCCCGTTTGAGGCATGCAATTTCATTTGTTTCAGGCCAATGAATTTTGGTCGGTCTTTGATTCGTAGTTCCAATAAATCAAAGTCAACTAATGCTAATTGTATGGGTCGAGTTGCTAGCAACCACTTTCAAGTTGCTTCCAAGTTGTAAGTTTTCATTATCTTACAACATTGTTTGTACTTCTGCTATTTAAATTTGTTAAAATAAATCGCAAACGGAAATAAATTAATTTCCGGTTTTCTTTAGTTAACTTTATCGGTGTAAGTTAACAAGTAGTTGTGTTGCTAACAATTAGGTTAGTTCTAATATTGTAAAATATATATAAAAGAAAAAACAAAATTTTATTTCCAATTGAATGAAGATACTATAATTGGAAAATGTACCCCATCTATATGGGTAAAGTATAAAAAAACGTTAACTGTTGTATTAAAGATATCGGAAAGAACTTAAAGGCACTCAATATATCTTCAGTTGTCAAGCAAAAGGCAAGATTTAATTTTCACACATATTATGCTTATTTAAGTCTAGACTTCAATAAACTATATCTGTATTTATATTGTCAATAAAGATTTTGTAAGTACATATATACTTGCATCAAAAAATATAAAATTTTTTATAGGTATCTACATATGGTAAAATCTTATGGATGATTTTCCATTAGGATTTGCATTTTCATCCTTCTTATAATAATTTAACAAAAATACTAAAAATTGTAAACGTAATACGTAGTACCTATGCCGATTATTTTCGGAAGAACATTTTTTGGATGACGATTTTTAAGTGATGAGGCTCAAATTTTCATAGCTATGAGGTCCTTTGTTTATTTAATAATTATACTAACAAACAGATTTGTCGTATATGATGGTATTAAGACCTCTAAACAACTATTGTAAAATTGGACTAGAAGTGTGATAGGCTCGTAGTTTTTTGAATAACAAAAGAGTAACACATATCTCAAGCACAATTGTAATAGTCATTTTTCTTTGTTGGCATAAAATGGGTGTGATTTACAGTTTTATCAAGACGTGGGCATAAGCAATATAATACGATCTATTCTAAACCACCACTGGATTGTTGGATACTTTTTGCGAAGTTACGCATTGATTTGTGCGTCAAACTCACGATAAACATCCGTCAAGTTATGCCAAGCTACTGCTAATTATACGTTTAATCTAATGCCGTTCTCAAAAGTACACTAAAACATTAACAAAACTTACCAGATTATTAAAGATACAGTGATTGAGTCAAAATAATTGAAAAATCTAACTATATGATTTTTATTTTGGAGTATTCTCAGTTTAAATTGCTAAGAAAAAGTTCGAAATTATAATAATAATACGATAGCATAGATCGTAGACCTTAAAATATTATTATTATGTTTAGTCACAATTAAAAAGGATTTATTGAAACACAATTTCTAAACTATTTCCTTGAGATATGAACAAAGAAGTTATATTAAAAATTTTGAACTAAACAAGTTTCAATGAACTTGGAATATCAGATTTAAGTTCGAATAGAACGCTATTCTGTCTGATATTTCTATATCGTCCAATCCAATGTAGACCTAAAGTTGTTGTACAAATATTATTAGCTCACCTGTACTCGAACTTCAGGCAGATTGACTTTCATTGCTAACTCCTCCCTTGAATACACATCAGGATAATGAGATTTTTCAAAAGCACGTTCAAGTTCATGTAATTGATATGTGGTAAAGGTGGTACGATTTCGTCGATGCTTTTTCTTCGAACAGTTATCGTCTTGACCTGCAGAGAGATGTAAAGCATATTATGAAGTATTATATGGAAAAAACATAAAATAAAACAAAGATATAAAGGATCATATGAACTTTTACCTTCATCATCACTGCCCGAAGTTATTTTTTCGCCTTGTTCACTTGAATTCGTTTGATTGAGATCTTCACTAGACGCACAACTACCATTTACGACGCTGTCACTATCATTAATACGATCTTGTTGCTCCGATGGACCAGACGACCCACTAGCACCTAACCGATATTCTTCCAAGTGTCGTTGTTGTAACTGCTGGAATTGTTGCTGCTGTTGTTGTTGTTGGTTCTGATGCTGAGTCTGCTGTGATTCTAAATTATTGCAATTGTCATTCAATGATTGAACTTCTTCAAATGAACGCGCTCTTATACCTTCGAAACCCTTTAGCGTATAATTATCGTGCATACTTCCGTTGGCTAATTTAACAGCATTAATGTGTGCCTCATTATTTTGGTCATCCAATTCATCACAGTAGGAGTCAGCGGACTTGCGTTTAAGATTGCCGAATTGCATTTTCGCAGCGATTGCAGGCGATTGCGGTGTTGTTACATCAATCGTTGCGGAATTGCGGTGCTCCTTTGTATCTTCATCATCGGCAGCATCGATATCTTCATTTAGTGATGATGAAGACATAGAGCGTTCATCAAAATCAAGTATATTGTTTGTGTTGGTAATGGCGTGCGACCCGTTGGAGCCATTCGTATGATTGGCGCTGTTAAAATATGCCGCGGTTGCCTGATTAGCTGTGTTTGACGAAGTAGTTTGCGATGATGATTTAGCGTATTTTTGTTCATGTTGCGCTTGTGCCTGCGCTGCCAAGGCAGCCAATTGCTGTTGATGACTTAACTGTGTCGGAAGTTGTGCATTAGATGTCGGCGTAATTGTTTCAGATAACGTATGCAGTTGATGTGTATGATGCAGTGGCGGCATAAGGTGACTCGCCTCTACCATTTGGTGCATTGAATTCAAGTATTCGCTACTTAAAGAGGGACTGCTGCGAAAGGAATTGTGCTCGACGGCGGGTTCAAATTGTATGCCATAATGCAGACGTGGACTACTGGCGTTGTTATTAACATTTGTAGTGCCTTGGTGGGGAAAATTCATCATGACATTGTGATAATTTAGTTGAGTTGTATTTGGTGGTGGCAAATGTAAAGGATTATGTGGCGTTGTTTGATGACCCGTCGGTGATGATAGGGGGAATGGTCCATGTTTTTGTGTTTGTTGCAAAATATTTGCCATGTGGTTGTCCATGTTACGTAAATGCACCAAGGACATATTGCACCGCAAATCGGTGGCATCATCTGAAATATCAACTAAAAGATTTAGAGAATTAAAATAGAAATTTGAGAATTACAAAATAGATTAGAGAAAAAGTCAATTTAGTGAAATTCAGTGCAATTAATACGATAATGTTTTAGTGCGAAAAGAGTTATGTTATATTCGAAAAATATCCGAAATTTGAGCAACTTCTCGTATAAAAATGAAAATTCATTGCTAAAGAAAAACAGAAGGTTCATTATTATTTGAGACATATTTGTTTTATCTATTGAATCTTCTCGTCGATGATTGTTTTCTTCCTCTAGACTCTAGTTATTTCAAATATCTACAGAAAAAAAATCATAGATAACAATACATTTCAGGGACAAGGAGTGAACCTTTCCGTAGTACTCACTTTTACATAAATCATGCAGTAATTGAAAATGTTTGACAGAATAAATTTTACAATTCGTTTTGATCTGGCAATGTCCACAAAGGTTACCAATATATACGATATATGGTTTTTGGCAAACTAAGGTCAGCACTAAAAACACGAGAGTATTAATTAAAACATATTAAAGCTCGTCTTCGGGATTATATGACGACTCTACAGCCTCAAATTTTGTAATGCCCAACTCATTTGTGGACCATTTCAGAGCTCAAATTCGTACTTAAGACGGGCTAATGGAAAACAAAAAAATGTTGACGAATCCATTTTTTTTCAATATTATTTTGAATGCTTCAATAAAATTTATGTCAAATTTAGAAAATACAGCGTGTTTTAAAGTTGTAGTTCAAGTGGGCTACCTGGTATAGTAAATGTATAATATTACTTTATGTATTTGTACAATGGCATAAGTAAAAGTATACGCATATCAGTATACATTATATACTGATAATATAAGAGAATATAAGTTACAAACCGTATTTTATAGAGAAAATCGAAGGAACAAAACAAAGGACACAGACATGCGAAAAATTTGAGATATACATATCCTTATAATCTTTATAATCAGTTCATTGATTAATTATTACGACATTCTAATAATTTTGATTAATATTGGTTTTCAAGACAGTGCTTATTATAGTTAATTAATTTATATATTAATGCCATATTTATTTTTTTTTGATTAGTTCCATCATTAATTATTTTTCATATTTAATGTTTTAGTTTGAGTCCATTATTTTTTATGTTATACATGCCTACAGTAATCCCCTCGATAATACCATAATTAATAGATTTGTATATTCTGTAAGATATTTAATATGTATTTTCAAAATCAATCAATTTATATTTTCAAGCTATTGCTAATAACAGTAATTGTTATTTAATTAGATACCTTACAAATAACAACTGTCTCTCTCTCTCTCTCCCTCTCTCATTTTTCATACTAATGAACATTAGAGAATAATACATATACCTTTTAAAAGTCACATAATACTAATTTATTAATACATATCACAATTTTATTACCAAATATAAAATTTTAATAAAACACATGCATGGTCTTCTACTTAACAGCAAAATTTATTAACACCCAAGCAATTTTCCTAACAAACTGGCACCCGTATTTACCTACTTGCACTTCCTTCTCCATAGAACCCGTCGAATAAACGGCATTCAATTAGCCGCGTCATATTTACAATGTGCGGCAATAAAAATTCTTAAACGTCGCCTTTTATTGAGTCCCTGGCTTAAATGCTCAGCCAACAGTCGGTTTAACTTATTAGAGAATTGGTTGCCATTTGGCAAGGGAAAATAAATATTAAGCGACATGCAAGGAAGTCATTAGGCGCTGGAGTTTGTGCACACGTCACACTCTTCCAACCTTATAGTGTATTCGGTATAGGATATCGCAAACAAGAGGCACGTGTGGGTGGTGATAATGATACCCGAACAGTTCAACCTAAAACAAAGCCACACATAACAATTTGGGATTCGTGTTAGCATGGAACAATGATTGACTCTTTAACAGTTGTGAGTGAGTTTTGGACGAGTATTCGTATACTCGCATTAATCCTTTTCCATACGTAAGTGATTTAATTTATAAAAATATCCTTGCAGTTTATTGAAATGTCAGCTCAAATAGATTTGTGACCAGAAATAAGGTCTTGCAGAAAACTATTTTCACTTTGTTTTAAAAATAAATCCTATCGATAATTCAAGGAACTCTCCTTATCCTACATAAATTCATCCTTATAATTCTTAAAATGATTTTTAAGTCTGCATTTCTGCTTATCGGAGTTATTAAAACCTTTTTCCTTGCGAGTACAAATTAGCGCAGCAAAGGAGCAAAATCTAATTAATAGTTTGAAAAATGTGTAATTATAGTTCGGTGGGCACACATAAGAGTTTAATTGCATTTTGATGTGCCCGGCTCCAATTCGTTCGTAGTCCTGTGCCTTTCCTCCTTGCACGCTTTTTTCGATTTATTTAATGTAATTTTTTGTTGTAGTTTCACGTAATGCGAGGTAATTTGAAGTGAAATGTAAATTAATTTTTTGATTGATTTTTACTTAACACTCCATTTGAAAGGATAATTGACGGTAGCAAATGTAATTAATTGCTATTTCCATTAACGTAATCATACAAACTGACATAAAATTGCAATTGTGAGTGAAAGTAATGAATGGAAAGTTAGTTTGAGGTGTGTTTTTACCCGATATATGGGTAAAGAAAACTAATGGAGAAAATTATTATGCATACTTATAGGTTTTTCGAACTTTTATTAGTTGTATTTTATGACAACTTTGCTTAGGTGTTGAAAAAGTTAAATTTCAAGAAGTGTTTCTTATTAGAAGCACTGTCAAAGTCACTGCGAAGTCACTATTATTGAAATTAATTTTCATTAAATATATATTTTGAATCTGATTTGGCAGCACCGTAGCCACCTAACAAATACAACTAACACCCTCATCCTTATCTGCTTAACCTAAAATTTGTCATTTTATAATTCGAGAAGAAGGATCTTCAAAAGATCTCTTGTCTGACAACTACCGCTTCTAAATGGACCATGAGAGAACTAAGATTTGTTAAATTACAATGTGAATCCTTTAACAACCATTGAACTTTTGAGAGGATGGATCTTCGTAAGATCTTTCACAGTTTTAGAGTAAGCGACAACCAACGTATCCAAATGAATAACGAGAGGAAAGTTCTTTGTAAGATCTTTGGTCTTCTAAGAGTTCGAGATAAATAGCGCATATGATCAGTATCAGCTCTATTATGGCATTAACATCATATAGTGAATTAACATGATCGCTGGATTGATCTTTCAGAAGAGTTGAGAAGATGTTGGAAATAAAATAAGGTTTAGGTATTTTAACAAGTTTAAAAAATATTGAAATGCGGATAAAACTGAATGGATTCGGAATAAAATAACAATATTTGATATGCTTATTTTCACCAACATTAGACGTTTAGATGATTGGGTTAGGTGAAGTGGATAGAAGAAAGATTCTTTTCGATTAGCTAAAACGCCGTTATGATTCCACAGTTTCTCGTAATGGTAAGTAGGAATGATCATGTTAGAATCAGCCAGAGGTATTGATAAATGCAAAATTTTGGCCAATGCTAATGCTGGAAGTATCGCCGAGTGTGTTGAAGATTTGCACACCCAATAGCTAAAGCCTAGTTCTAGACAAGTCTGGGAAATAAGTCGTTTAGACATTTAGAAAAGTAACAATTTTTTATGCATCTAATATTATTAATCACTCTTTTATAAGAATAAGACTAAGTTTTTTTTATTAGTTGGTTTTTTTTTTTGATTTAAAAATTATTATATATATACAACCCTATATAAATCGATGAGTATTTTTTTCCTAATGCTTTCAGTTTCCGACTTTTTCCGATAAAAAGAAATTTTTAGACAAATGTGAATAACACACCCACAAACAAGTTGACAAATAATTAATCCTTTAATGTGGAATTCTCTAAAAGGCATAATAATAGTTATTAAAAAAGAAAAATGTATATGAATAAAAAGACAATTTCCCGGAAATAAGCAAAGTATGTATGAGATTTTAAAGATAAGCTGTCAAAATACTTTTTGGTCATTTCTTTTTGGCCTCAAACGCTTTAAGTAAAGTGCCCCGCACCGTATCAAACAAATATCAAATCAATAGGAAAATCTTTGAAGTGAAAATTTTGCTCTACATTCTATTATAAATTTGTAAAACTATAACATTTTCATTTGAGAAAATTCTCTTAAAGGAGTTTTGTCTTGTCTAATAGGTCAATTTGATTTAATTGCAGTGTGCGTCAATGGAAAACATTTCAGAGACAGCAGAAGAACAAATGCCAAGTCATGTTTTTAACACGATTAGCGTCAAATTACAAGACATAGACGACGAGCTGCTGTCGGTGTTAGGTAAAATTTTAAGAAAATAGAGCAGCCAGCCATCATTTTTGAAATTATCACTAAAATATATCTTCTACATTAAAAGAATTTAATTGCTGTTGTGAAGGCGGTTATGCCATTTGATCAATCAAAAACCCAAATTAAGTCGCAGACGTAGATAGAAATGTGGCATAAGGCATCTTGAATTTCTTAAAAGATTTGTTAACTGTAATTAGCGGCTATTAGGCATTGTTAATATTCTTAAGTGAAATACTTCAAATGTCAGTCAATTTTTTGTTGTCTTTTGTTTCCTAAAATAATAAAAAATTTTACTTGCATGATCGGTCGGTCAAGTCACTCACATTGTTTTCACTTTCTAATTTTTGTGTATTTTATCTCTAATTTAGGCAATTATTGTTCACAGAACAACATCAAAAAACCAAAAAAATTTATTAAAACTTTAATTAAAATTCTTCCAAATTTATTTACTGTCTTTTTTCAATATAATTTTTTCACTTCCAACCAAAGTTGATGTCTTTAATTGCCCCATCTAATGCTTTCGTTGGTTAACTGATTTTTTAATTCAAGCTGTTCAGCATTTCATTAATTTCATAGCAACGCTGAAATGCTCGAAGAGGTGCAGATGTGCAGAAGTGATGATGGGAAGAGGGAACAGTGTCGGAGAAGATGTCTTATTTCCATTAATTAAGTTGCCA